ATGAAATTCTTATATTTCTTATACTCAAGATATGAGCAAAAATTTATAGAGGTAACTTTCCTTCTGAAATAATCCAAGTAAAATCTTGCCCAAATGGGGCAACCAAATTTAAGTTTATCATATTAATTGAAAAAAGCATATTTGGCGACTGCAATTAACATTGGGGAATCTGATGAAAGGCAAAAATATACTTTGATTAAACTCTTTTCAAAGAAGCCATCTGTTAGTTTAGTCTGATCTTGGAAAAACTTTTCAATTTCAAGATGAGACTTTGATTTTAACATCACTCTATGTACGCTTTGTCTTAATCTTGGCAAGTGGAAATCAATTGTGTCCAAAACTTTGCCTGGCCTCAGAACAACAACAACTGTGCAAGGTCACAGTTGACATATTGCATTAATGTAATACCAAGTTTAAACTAATGACACTCTATAATAAGCTGCCAACCCGCATTACAGCACCTATGGGACTGCCATTAATCAGTTTTTGTTTTTTTTCAAATGAAGTTATTGCTTGGAGTTTTGATTTTAAATGACTGTTACGTCACTGTTTAAAATTGATCTGATACACAGCGGGGCAAACTTTACAGTGAAAACATATATCATAGACGTCACTGTGCAATCTACTTATGACTTTCATGGTCAGGGTTTACATTGTTCTTGATCAAGATGATGGTTAAGATTCTGACTGAATATACCTAGAAATGTCAACTTTCCCAGAAAATTCAACCTGTAAAGCAAAGATTTTATTGGCACTTCCAGAGTTTTGGTTCTTCTAATAGGCACAAGTCAGGTACTCTATGAAACCTTGTCAAATAGAATGTGACGGATCTAACTGACTTCTTGAAATCTACATTGTTTTAACAGAATAATTGGTGATATTTAATTTCCAAATTCTTGTAATCATTTTAAACTACCAACACCACCAATATCCAAAGTCAAAAGAAAAAAAAACAATTAGTGGAATTTCTGGCAGCTTAGCACATCTGCTCAGAGATTTAGTTCCAACTGTTTTCTTTTGCGTTGCATTGCGTCTTATTGTGTTATACGAATGGTTGTACTAAAAGGACTAGAGACAACTAACCTGACATTACCCACATTCACATAACTATGTAGGGACAAAAGTTTGATTAATATCTAGTGCGGATACAAAAAGGAAATACATTGCAAATGGGCTGTGGTTTCTCACAAATTACCGTCTGCCGTCAACTCATTTAGAAGTGGCTTGTCAGAGCTGGTGCAGATTTTAAACTAGAGTTTCCAACAGATTAAAGAGGAGAAATGCATCGAGTTATAACTTTCTTCATGTCAGGAATCAGTAATGCCTATCAATGGAACTTGACAAAATGGACTTCGACAAAGTTCGACAAACAGGCAGAGCCTGATTTTGAACTCATTACCAGAGATAAATGATCTCTGTCATTACCATAAGTTTAGGAATATTCTTTGCATTTTGTTGCAATACACTGCTACACCGCTGAGAGAGAAGAGAATCAAACTGACATTCAAAGAACTATTATAAGACAAAATTTTGTATTTCATTCAACTAGTTTAAACTCAGTATGCAGAAATCTGACTCATGTCAAAGGGAATTTTCACTAAAACCAGAAGAAAGAGTAAAACTTTTGTTGTTGTCAGAGATTCACTGAGCAGTTTTTGGTTTCGGGTTTTGCTTCAAAAATTACAAGCACTGATTTTGGTAAATAACACCTAACCAAAACATTTCGTCTGCTAGCGTCTCCTCCTCCTCCTTCCTCGAATTTGTCATACTAACGATGCAGACGGCCATAGGTCGGTGGTGGGGGAAGATGTTAGCTAGAACCGAAGTGGAGCTGGAGCCAAGTCGAGGCGTTCAAAAAAGTCAGAGAAAGTTTTTCTTTATTTGCACATTGGGTCGTTGGGTTGGCAATGATCTCTGAGCATCTGAGCACTGAGCAGAGCAGACGATGCAAGACGTTTCTGAAAACGATGTAATTTACAGATTATGACAGAGCTTAATATAGTAATCTTACGTCTCTACGGCTCTGTAACATTACTTGTGGTAAATTGATTTTCATTTTTTCTTCCTTAACCTTGGTAAGTTCTCTAAGTTCAAGTTCCCGTTGTTTACGACGCCGAAAGGCAGGTTAGGTCCAACACCGTGTATCACTATAAATTAACTTATTTGTGCCCAATCACAGACCAGACGAAAATGTCAGCGGCAAAAGGCGCTGCGAAAGGATTTCGTAAAGCTGTAGAAAAGAAAATTTTTCATGGACCTCTTAAGACTTATATTCCTGCTGGAATGGCGTCTGGTTCCCCACCACTGGGAACCCAACTTGGTGCGGTAGGTAGTAATTGCTAACATTCTACTTCCTTTGGTAATTTATTGTCAATCTAACCTTTCTCCCCTCCCCTTTTTTGTATAATTAGAGAGGAGTCAATATTCCGGCTTTTGTAAAAGATTTCAATGAAAGGACAAAAAACCACAAGCCTGGCATACCAATACCGAGTATTGTAGAGGTGAAAGCAGACCGATCTTACAAACTTACATTACAGCTTCCACCAATGCCGTATTACCTATTTCAAGCTGCTGGCATTACCCGAGGTGCAATGAAACCATGTACGTATTTGTGTCACCAGATAACTGTTTTATGGATTTTATTTGTGTGGTCTTAGTGCTCATATTCTACATTTTCAGCTGTGGAAGTCGCTGGGAAGATAACATTAAAACATGTCTATGAAATAGCTAACATCAAAAGTCAAGATATACGTTATCAAGCCAGTACCTTGCAAGAAGTAGTAGAAAATGTTATATTTTATGCAAGACACTGTGGAATTGCAGTGGTAAAAGATTTGGACCCCAATGAGTATGGCCAATTTCTGGAAGAGAGATCAAAAATAATTGAGGAACAGAGGGCAGAGATACAAGAAAAACGAGAGGCCAAATTATTGCGAACCGGCTGAATAACCATCTCTGGCTGTAGATTAATAAATAGTTTTATTTGAAAAGGCTTATTTTTGAAATATTCCATCCTTATCAAACACAGCAAAATATAAAGGGTCAGATATAAGTATCATTTGACTTCTTTAATGAACCTAATAATATACATTAACAATCAAAATGTTCCGTAAATCTACAATTGCTCGCCCTTGCTGGAATTGATTTTCTTCCTGTTCTTTTGAACAATTTTTTTCCTGTGTTTCTCAATGTTTTTCACAAGACTTCCTTTCTTCTTAAGATCTTCATATTTGTCAATAAGGTCCACCATACGTTTCTCAGCTGAAATACCAACAAGAAACCTGATTTAGTTATCGATAAGTTAAGAACAAGTACACACACACATCTATCAAATCAACATACATTTTCTACGGAATATTGGCTGTTTCCCTTCAGTTTTGGCTTCAATAATTTTCTGCTTCTCTTCTTCCTCTCTAGCAGCCTTCTTTTTAAATCGCTCCTCTTCCCTAAATTGATTTTCCTACCAAAAAGAAAAATAGAGATGAGTAACATTAACAAAAGAATAAGCTAAGAACCTTAAGCAATATATTAGGGTACCATTCGTTGAATCAAATATTTGATTTGAGTCTTTCGTTCTGGATCTGTTGTTGTCTTAATCTCTTCTTTTAATTGTTTCAACTCTTCAACACGATATTCAGAGACAAAGCTGTATGCAGATTTGAAAGCCTAAACAAACAGGAGAATAAAACGTAAATATAAAAAAAGTACTATCTATTGTAACAATGAAATACAAGAAGATACCAACTATTTCATTGTATTCCCCACACAAACTGTCAAATCGTGGGTCTCTGGGGGCTGTTTTCTTGACTGGTAGTACATCTCTGAGAACAGGAACAGGTACTTTTGATGAAATTTCCCGAGGCCTGAAAAAATTTGAGGGTATGAAGAAATCACTAGGCAAAATCAGTTAAAAATACCAAATGATCATGTAAAGTACCGATTTTTGTTTTCTCTTTTGAAAACTTTTCTTTTCGCTTGCGTTTTACCAAACATAGCTTCATTATACACTTTAGTACCCAATTTTTCTTTCAATTTTTGAAGCTCTTCAAAACTCATGGAAGATAATTCTTGTCGGATTTTAGTCTGGAAGAGAGTTGTGTTACTTGGGATAACCTACACACTAACTCGCACATGTTAAGTTGCGATATTTACCCGCTCTTCATCCTCAATAATTTCTTCTGAATGCACATCCATGATAAGACAGATGCGTTCACTATATTGATGACAAAGTATCAAATAATTGCGTACAAAAGACCTGCTCTCCGATTGATTTTCTCTACGTCTGCGTCTGCGTGCTTTCTTCTGCTTTTGTCTTCTGTTCTGTTGTTGATTCAATTTTTCATACTTCATTCTTCGTGCTCCCCCCCCCCCCCTTATTTCCTTGCACGGTCAAACATGACAAAGACAAAGTCACCTGACAGCTGTATCGCTCCAAGTTACTGTTACGTTTAGTTTTTTAGCTGTTCGTGGACTTTTTGAGTGATTCAGATGATAGACAGAGCTAGAGCTCTCTGCTCTTTTTGCAACTTTCAACTTCCCGCCTTCCCCTATTTTTGTTGTTGTTTTTGTTTTTCGCGTTTGTCGGCTGCCGAGTAGTCCTTGTCTTTGTTTGTTTACAATTTTACATGTTTACCTTAGTCAAGCCGTCTTGCTGGTGGTTTGTGGTTTCGTATATCGCTGATCATAGCTATTCCGTGTCGACTGCCTGTCGCGTCTATCGACTGCCCCTTGAGCCGACCCCGGAGTTATTAGTCACAGGAAATTAGACTGTACAAAGTTCAGAGTAGGGCCTCAGCTCGTTGTTGGTTGTGGTAGGCAATGACAATGTCGGCAATCTCTTCAAATTCTGTTGATGAACCTCCTCGTAAAAAAGAAGATGTATCAACAACAACTGATGGTGACCTTTCATCTGACAAAAGCCACGTATTTCTTGACATTCAAGTCGGTTCCATCCCATGTAAGTCTTATGACACATTGAGATGGGCTGTTCAATGTGTTTTACTGTAATTTTATATGTATTGTTGTAAATTATATTCTGTAGCAACCACATTCATACTAAAAATATTCTTAAAGTTACTGCATTTTGAGCCCGGTCTGCTATATAACATAAGACATGTCATAGTGTCACTAAGAATTTGTAGACGCCTGGTCGGATGTTAGGTTTATGAAAAGAAACTGTTTTTTCCTTGCAATTTTTACCCATGCTTCAGTCCTTTTAATAGCTATTGACACCATTCATAACAACAACTCTAGATCTTACATTATGGCTACAACATACATCTTATGCAGTATGGTAGACTGGAGTATAAAGTAAAAACTTAGTGACGCTCGGAAATTTTGTTATTCTCTGAGCAACAAGTATGAGAGAAGAAGTCTATTTCATTATATTTTTTTTTATGCAGATGGGCGAATTGTTATAGAGCTCTTTTGGGAAAAAGCTCCTCGTACATGTGAAAATTTTTACCAGCTCTGTGTTGGAACTCAAAGGTCAGGAAGAAATTTGACTTACAAGGGAACATCAATACATAAAAGTAAGTCCTATCTTAGCTAGGTATTTATCCCAAATGAAGCAGTTGCATGGCAGCATCTATAATTCTTTAAAAATTTGGGAAGAGTAGTTATGGCATTTTCCAAGCAAACATCTCATTTTAAGTAGTGTTTTAATATGCTAGTGTGCTGAAGATTCATGAAAATATTGTATTTAGCATAATTATTCATCACATGATATCATTTGATTGTAATGTGGATATTTGAGTATAGATAGAATCGAATTTTATCAATCTTTTTTATTGTTGTTCCAGTTTTTCCTAATTTGTTGATACAAGGTGGAGATGTTATTAACAAACATGGGTGTGGAGGAGAAAGTATATATGGTCCAACGTTTGAAGTTGAAAGCTTTGAAACAAAGGTAAGTTCTTTATTTACTTCGAGCTTTTACTCTATGATAAAGTGCATAGTTTTAAAGATGGTGCAATGACAACTCCTGAATGATATAATTTAATCTCTTTCAGCTTGAAGCAGGTGTTATTGCCATGACCAGCAAAGACAAGAGCAGCAATTCCTCCCAATTCTTCATATGCCTCAGAGACTGCCATCATCTGCAAGATTCACATGTAGGATTCGGAATAGTGAGAAAAAATCTCCAACTTCTTGAAGAAATTGGTAACCTTCCCCATAATACTGAAAATGAACCACTCAAACGTATTCTGATTGTGGATAGTGGATCATTGCCTAAAAATCCTCAAAACTGGAACTTTTATGAAAATGATGGACTTGATAAGTATCCTCCCTATCCAGAAGAATTTGATGTACCTAACTCATCTATGAATTGGGTAAGCATTGACCAAATCATTTGTCTATGACAACTATTGCATATGTACATACAGGTTGTTATCAAAATTAAATTCTATCTCATTACAGTTAGAGGTTATCAAGAATATAAAAGACCAGGGCAATATTCATTACAAGGAAAGGAACTATGAAGCAGCTATGCGAAAGTACAATAAAGTACTTCGCTACTCACCATGGTAATTTGCCCTCAACCTAGATTTAAAAACTATGTGATCCTATTTGAATTAAAAATGTATTTATTTATTACAGGGCAACAAGAATTAATGAGGCCAAATCTGAAGACTGCAATGAATTATCTGTTTATGCCCTCCTCAACATGGCTGCTTCAGAAAATAACTGTAAAAATTTTAGAGCAGCCCGTCAATTTTGCTCTAAGGTAAAGAGATTGGGAATAAGTTGATAGTTTTATATCTCTCTCAACCTTTTTAAGTACTTTTATTTTCAATGTATGTAATTCCAGGCTCTTCTGATCTCACAAGAATGTGCAAAAGCTTATTTTCGCAGAGGACAAGCCAATTTGGGGTTACATGATTATGACGCAGCTCTAGATGATCTGAATGCGGCTCTAAAGCTGGAACCTTCTAACAGTAGGATTCGGCAGGAGATTGAAAGAGTTAAGAAAACCAAACATAATTCTAAGAATGCAGAAATACAACGTTATGCCACAATTTTCAACAATAACATGTAACAAATAAAGTTGTCTTCTTTTCTTACTGTAATATTTTATTGTTATTTTTTATAACTGAGATTTTTGATGTCTGATGTTTGTCCGTTACATTAATGGGAAGTACTCTTTTAAAAAATCTATCCATTTTCTTTGAAATTATTCAAATAAGGTATGGTGGCTAGTTTTCAGTTTGATCACTGTAATAATTTATGCAATTAGTTTTTGTGAAATTAATTTGTTACTATTTTACTAGAAATTTATTGTTTATTACCAATAAAAGATTTACTTGCTTTAGCCTACATATATTTGCTCTAGGTTTTCCCTTCAGTTTTACTCCTTGTTCC